GCTGATAGCAGGCCTGCGCCAACTTTCTAGCCTGCCAATCGGTGTGACCCAATCCAGATTACAATGCACATATCAACGGTCATGATAACCACCATCCTGATGGGGGTCCGCCAAAAGTCCTCAGTCCTTGCAGCGTCCTTTATAGATGTTGCATCCCATCCATCCCTAGTAATTCTCCACTTCTTCAACTTCACCCAATGCATCTCAATGCAGACATAGCACACCTTCTCCACCATAAAACATAGGTCCATGACCTCCACCCTTGTGGAAGGAGCTTCAGTGCCGTAACTGCACCTGCAGTTGGGTCACTGACATGTGGCCCACATGTCAATGACCCAACTGCAGGTGCAGTTACGGCACCGAAGCAGCGTCCGCAGCCACATCACCATCTCCACACCGCTCCTTCTCAAAGACCTTGCTGAAACCAAGAACGAAATCAGGGGGGCCATGCTACATGATTCTTACAAGCTTCAGATGTGTCAATACAATTCCATTGAGATATTTGGATAGCTGATTCAGTGGAGTTGCCGATGGATCAGTAAAAACAATTTATAAACTCGGAATTCCGTAGAGTAGGTGTCCAATTCAATATCAATAATAAGATTAGATGTAAACGCTGCTTTCCAGACAGTGTTCGTCGAATTTTACTAAGAGAACCAAAATTGTCTACTATACAGAGGAAAGATGATTGCAATAAAACAGAGAGCACGAACCCTAGCTGAAACCAAACAAGGCCGGCCTCGACTACCACACACGCCATTGCCTCGTTGCCATCCAACATGGGCGTAGGGAGTGGTTTTGGCGCAGGAATCTAAGAAGATGGAGTGGCGACCCTGCCTCAAACGTCAGTGGAGCAGAAGGATAGAGATGCAGCCCTCTTGCCGGAGCCGGAGCCGGCACTGGACCACGGGAGGGGAGGGCGGCCGGTAGTGTAGGCAGGAGCACGATGGGCCTCCCCACCAGACGACAAACCGGAATCGACGAGTGTGGTGGAGCAGCAAGATCGTGGGGAGGAGATGGTGGACTCGTTGCACGGCGGCGTCGTAGGTGGTGAAGCCGTGCACCGCGGCCGTAGCTGGTCCATCTCCCACGAGTAGCCCCACTGCGCATCGTCGTCCTTGGACTTGTACATGCCCTTGTACAGGTGCGTGATGGCGTACTTACGCGGGCACGCCGTGCCGACTTGTACATGCCCTTGTACAGGTACATGGCCATCAGCGCACTGCTGCCCTTGGACAGCTCTGCCAACATCAGCATGGCATGCACGCGGCCGGCGCCGTGCACGCACACCAGCCACTAGTAGAAAACAGGGCTATTGTCCAGGCCGGCTCAGCCCATTAGTCCCGGTTCAGTCTAGAACCGGGACTAATGTGAGCATTGGTCCCGATTCATGCGGCTAAGGCATTAGTCTCGGTTCATCTAGACCTTTTGGTCCCGGTTGGTGGGATGAACCGGGACCAATGGGCCTCGCTCCTGGCCCACAACCATTGGTCCCGATTCGTGCCACAAACCGGGACTAAAGATTAGACCTTTAGTCTTGGTTTGAGACACGAACCGGGACTAAAGATCCCATTTTCAAACTATACCCCCCCTGACCGCCTTTTCAGTTTTAGAAAAAACAAAAAAATGATGGAAATGTCAATAAAAATAAAATAAAATAAGTTTCACATGTGATATGTGGTCTAGTTGTTGGGAAAATTTACAAATATGAATTTCGACTTTATTTACAAAATCTCTCTGGAATTTGTAAAATGGGCATAACTTTTGCATACGAACTCGGATGAAAAAGTTTTTTATATGAAAAATCATCTACTCGAAAAGTTACATCCGATGGAGACCGCCTATGACCTATTTGCAAATTTCTAGAATCCTCAAATTCCAAAAGGAAAAAAGTTATGCTCAAATTTCAGTTTTTTTAAATTTTCAGTAAATCTGGTCAAACTATGGTCAAACTACTTATTCAAGAAGTATTAGTGTTACTAAATAATTATTCAAGAATATTAGTGTTATTAAATAATTATTTCACTTTTTTGAATTTTGGTCAAATTTGGTCAAACTATGGTCAAACTGTGGTCAAACAATGGTCAAACTACTTATTCAAGAAATATTAGTGTTACTAAAAAATTATTGTTTTTTAGAACAATAGTTTTAAACTCAAACAGTGAAATATGTGACTTCATGCTCAAGCTAAATTCCTGAGGGTTAATAGGATTGACATCTTACTATTCTCAGGAAAACAACAAGTGTAGACTTGGAAACGAGGGAGAATAGAACCCGGAAGTTAAGCGTGCTCAGTCTGGAGTAGTGAGAGGATGGGTGATCGTTCGGGAAGTGAGATGATTTGGAATGATGAGGGATGATTAGAGATTAAATTGAGCAGTGATGAGGGGTGATTAGAAATTAGAGGTTAAAATAATTCAGAAATTTGAAAATAAAAAAATTCAATAAAAATTCAAAAAAAATCAGGAAATTTCCTTTAGTACCGGTTGGTGTTACCAACCGGGACTAAAGGTGGACCGGCCACGTGGAGGACCGAACAGGGACTAAAGGGTCAGAATATTAGTACCGACACTTTAGTCCCGGTTCCAGAACCGGGACTAAAGGCCCTTACAAACCGGGACTAAAGACCCTTTTTCTACCAGTGAGCACCCGCAGGTCCTGGAGGCATCTCTGTCCTTCCGCTCCTCAAACTGGGTGACGGTGAAGTGCCCGATCTCAGCGAAGTCGAGCCTGGCGCCGACGACGCCCAAGCAGAGCGGCATGACGATCTGGTGCAACAGGTGTGAGACTACAAATCAGGAAGGATGAAAGGAATTGACGCGTGAATCGGGCTTGATTTTATCTGGACGCGTGAAATCAGGGAGAGGGAACGGGAAGTGGACCACGATTTCGCTTCCGCCGAGGCTACCAGTTTCGTCTGCCCTTCTAAATTGCTAAACGTACACACCTCAAGGTTAGTTTTTATCTGAACGGTAAGATCGAATTAGGTGGGCCTGATTGTTAGCGATATTTGATGTTGATTGTCCCGTGTACATGTTTTCGGGTGGTCTTACGGAAGAATATGTTTGGTTTTTTAATAATAGTAGAGATACCGCAACAGAGTTTCGTCTGCCCTTCTAAATTGCTAAACATACACAACTCAAGGTTAGTTTTTATCTGAATGGTTAGATCGAATTAGGCGGGCCTGATTGTTAGCTGATATTTGATGTTGATTGTCCCGTGTACATGTTTTCGGGTGGTTTTGGAGAAGAATATGTCTGCTCTTTTAATTGTAGTAGAGATAGAGATGAATTCGTGCGTATCTCTACCATGGATATCTGCAAGGGATATGCAAATATCAAAAACAGATTTTTCGCTCTTTAATAAATGCATCCATGGATATCTGCAAGGGATATGCAAATATCAAAAACAGATTTTTTTTCTCTTTTTAATAAGTGCATCCATGGATATCTGCAAGGGATATGCAAATACCAAAAGCAGATTTTTGCTTCGTAGTAAATGCAGCCGAACCTCCCTCCAGTATATATATACGGAATATGTGACAACCTTGGATCTGCGTAAAAGCAAAGTACTCAAGCGCCAACAAGTTAGCCAGCATTGTTGCAAAAGAAATGTCCATGAAGCTCGCCATGCGTGCTCTCCTACTCCCTCTAGTGCTTGCGGCGATCCTCCACCCTGCCATCGCCGTCTCTGTAGGTGATGGCAAACCAGGCCGCCGTGGCGGCGGCTTCAGCCTGCGGCTGATACCCAGCCCCGGCTGGAACCGTAGCATCCACGTCGACAACGACGGCTTCGTGCACCTGAATGAGCATGCCACCACCGCTCTTCGGCCGCCCATGCACACACAAGTTGGAGGCATGTACAGTGTTGTCACCAGCGTTGGAACCGGGGCCGGCCGACGCACGTACGTCCTCGCGCTGGACATGACCAGAAACCTGTTGTGGATGCAGTGCAATACGGTCCAAAGGCCGTTCGTGCAGCACCCACCGCCCTTCGACCCTGCCAAGTCGCCATCATTCCATCCCGTACCAGGCAACAACCCATTATGCTTGCGCGCCGACCATCTGCCCAGAGCGCATGACCCGTGCAACTTCCATCTTCGTCCCACCCGGCATGACGCCGTCGATGTGACCGGCGTGCTCGTCAATGACACCTTGGCCTTCGGAACCTCCGGCGAGTTGGCAGAGGTTGCTGGAGTCGTCTTTGGCTGCGCGCACACCAGCTATGGGTTCAACAGCCATGAAGTGCTCGCTGGTGCACTCGGCCTGGGAAGGCACAAGCCATCGCTCATTTGGACGCTCGGGCAACACAGGCATGGCGCCGTGCAACTGTGCAAGTGCATCGCTTCTCCTACTGTCTTCCTAGGCGCGGCTCGCCGGACCACCGCACCTTCCTACGGTTCGGCGACGACGTCCCGAGCACCCAACACATGGTGAGCACCCAGATCACGCCCGGCCAAGATTTCAGCGCCTACTTCGTGTTAGAGGTAATCTTGATTGATAAGATGTATACGTGAGGTCCAAGTACTAGTACGTTAGCAAGGTTAGTTTGGCTGGTTGGGTCCGGCTGTAGTAGGCTATAGGATAATTAGTAGTATTACAACTGCACGAGCATTGGTACATGTCCAAGTCATAGGAGAGTCCGGTCAGGATCTGTATCATGTGTGTCCGTGTAGGTGTAGGACACGGTCTAGTAAGACTGCGTTGGTTGTGTATATAAACATAGCCAAGCCGTGAGTTTTGTAACACGGTGTCGAGAAAAGCAGAAAATATAAAGGAAAACAAAGGGCACTACAAGGGCTTTTGGCTATCAGTTTTGTGTACGCGTGTTCATTGTAATTTAATGTGATCGATCCTCTGGCAGAATTCCAACACTTCGTCACCCTCGTGGGCGTCAGCGTCGCCGGGCGGCCGCTGCAGCATATCAGGGAGCTGTTCGAGCGCCACTTGTACCCCTGGGGGTGGACCGGCGAAGTTGTGTTCGATGTTGGGACGCCATCGATGATGCTGATAAGCACAGCTTACCATAAGCTGGAGAACGCCGTGCTAGAGCACCTCAAGCCGCTCGGGGTGTCGCGCGTGCGCCACGCCGGATACTACCTCTGCTTCCGTGCGACGTCGCACCTATGGCAGCACCTGCCGACGGTGACACTGCACTTCGCGGAGGAGAACGCACGGCTCGTTCTCACACCACAACGGCTGTTCATTGCGGTGGGGCATGACATCTGCCTCGCCGTGCACTCGAGCCTGGACATCACCATCATCGGCGCAATGCAGCAAGTGGACACGCGCTTCGTCTACGACGTCATCGCAGGAAGGATCTACTTCGCCCCTGAGAATGCGTGCCATGCGGATCTCGGCGGACACATTTAATTCATTCATCTTTTTGTGTTCTGAATTTGAAGTGGTCAACTAGAGTAATCATCATCCGTGAAAATAAAAATACAAGTGACCATTCGGATGTGAACTAGTAATCTTCTGCTTACCAGTTTCCTGGCTGCTCCCCATTACATAAGCACGTGTAAACTTGAGGACAGGTAAGAACACCATGAGGAGGGGCCTGTTTTTCTTCTGGCTTCTTCATCCGGTGGATCCAAAGCATAAGGTCTTGTAGGATGTTCTTGAGGGTGGTGATGTTGTGGTCATTCTGCTGCCTGAAGGTCATGGTATTCCTAGAATCCCATATCTTCCACAGAATGATGAGCAATATTGAGTTCCAGATTCTGTGATCAGTGTCCGCGGGTATGTGGCAATCCCAAAGATCGTCGATGCAGCCGTTGGGAGTGATGCCAAGTCTGAGCCATACACGCCTCGCTAGGGGGCAGTTGATGAAAATGAGTGTGATGTCTTCGCTGTCGAACCCGAATCTTGTGCATAGGGCGTCAGAAACAATATGCTTACGCAAGAGATTGGCCTTACAGTTTAGCCGACAACGAAATAGGAGCCATGCGAAAATCTTGACCCGATTGGGGGCTCGTGATGTCCAGATAGGCATGGAGTGGAGGTCCACCAAGTCCTCTCTCAGGGTGAGCTCGTATGCTGCTTTAGTGGAGAAAGGTAGGCCGCTAATGAGGAAGTGCTCATCTGGTTCTTGCGATGGCTGAAAGTCTTGCAATAAAGACAACAAAGACAACAACTTGGACGCAACATTAGAGGTTAGGCGAGTCCGCAGGAAAGATTCTAAACCTTGATTCAAAACAGCAGCCACGCAAGCAAGTGGGAGAGTGGCGTGTGAGTATAGGTAGGGGAACAATTCTGCAAGTGGTCTATGATGTAGCCAAGTATCTAGCCAAGAATATGTGTTGGTCCCAGAGTTGGTCAGAACAAAGGAAATGGGATGTAGGAAGGGGAGTTGTTGGTTAATGGTTCTGCAGAGAAAGGATTGGTTGCTTTGTGGGTTAATAAGAGCATTGGGGTGTTGGAGAGCAAGTCAGTCAAGCCATGGTGTGCGTTGTGGTAGTAAAGCTTTGGCGGCAAATTTCATGAGGAGAGAGCGATTTTGTTGTGGCAGATTCTTCAGTCCTAGACCACCAAATTTCTTCGGTTTTCAAACATCTTTCCAACCAACTAGACAGTCAGTACCCGTGCATGTTTCTTCAGCATCCCAAAACAAAGCGCGGCGGATCGAATCCAGAGTTGTGAGTACACTTTTCGGGATGAGAAAGACGGACATAAAGTAAACCAGGGTGGATTCAATTACTATGATAGGACGATTAGTCGACTATCGCTTTAGAGAGCAGTCGAGCGGCCAATCGGAGAGAACTTTTTTGCATTTGTCGATAATAGATAGAAATGCATTGGCGGGTAGGCGAGTAGGCGCTAGAGGGAGTCCTAGGTAGATCCGCGGGAAAGAGGAGACTGGGCATTGTAGGGTGGATGCAATGAAGGAAGCAATGTCAGGCGTGACATGTAGGGTGGTTTTTGTGGTCGTGCATTTTTAATTTATATTTACAAGTAAACTCAATTAAGCATCGGCACAACCAAAGGTGATCTTTGCACCTATACAGTTTCTATGGATCACTGCAAAGCACAAACATTTCTCAACTTGTAAAATGGATTTCCTCGAACTATAGGTTTTTGGCCTAATTGCTCACAAATAGTTAAATTCTGCAACAAAATATTACTAGTATAACGTAGGGTGGGATACATTTATCGAGCAATATATATTGAGTTTGTCATAGATACACAGAATTCCCTATTTGACGGCGTTTCATCAAATTACTGGGCAACAAACCCGGCCTCTGCATAACTAGAATGGAAAAAAAATGTACCCATTGGGTAGGCCGGGTACGGGTATGGAACGCATACACCCGGTCTCTGTATAATTAATTAGAATGCACATAGCCAACCCAACACACACACACGAAAACACACCAGCGACTAGTAAAGTCATAAGAGCAAAAGTTATGCCTTGGCATGAAAAAAGAAAAAGAAAAAGAAAAAGAAACCGCCCCAAATCAATCAAATCAGCGATCGACAAACTATATTTAAGATCATATCGGCACCAACCGTTGGCACCACATTGATGATGAGGATTTTCCACACCACCGCCTTCCGGAAGAAAGCGACACTCAAGTGCCGCCGTCACCAAATCCAATCACAAAGGTCAGAATGAAAGTTTTCACCTTGATGAAACAGTTTGAACTAAATCTATGCATGGATAGCCCGGCCCAGAGGCCTGACCCCCAAAGCCCAGCATCCGGGCCAGGCCTGGGCTCCATTTTTTGGCCCAAAGACCGGCCCAAAAGCCCGGAATAAGCCCCAAATGCCCATAAAATCTAGATTTTATTTGGAATATAGATATAGTTTATTATTTTAATACCCCAAATATTATTATTTTAATTGAAAATGTCACTGTTCCTGTGCTTCGGGCCGGGCCAGGTGCCCGGGCCCAACCTGGCCCAGCCCGAGGAATGATCAGGTCTAGACTGAACGTATCTGAGCAATGCCTCCAACAAAATAACGACATAAAAAACATCACCATTGTCAGGGATGACCACTCGGGTCTGACCTGGTTCGCCCTGGACCTCGAGACCAGGTGCTCGCAGAACCACCAACCCAGCAGCTTCAATTTAATTGCCGCCACTCCAGAAGCATCTCTACTATCTATCACTCTTTCTGATTTGCACCATTAATTCAAGAATGGCATGAATTAATTTGTGCGTATTTCCTCCATAGGTATCTGTAAGGGATATGCAGTTTTTTTTGCCTCTATCTATCACTCTTTTCGATTTGCAGCATTAATTCAAGAATGGCATGAATTAATGTGTGTGTATCTCCTCCCTAGATATCTGCAAGGGACATGCAGCAAACCCTCCACTCCAATATACACACACGTCAAATCTGGATTTACGAGCCAACAAGCATTGCTGCAACAGAAATGTCCATGAAGCTCGCCGCGTGCTCTCTCCTCCTTCCTCTAGTGCTTGCGGCGCTCCTCCACCCGGCTGATGTCGTCGCTGTAGGTGATGGCACACCAGACCGCGGTGGCGGTGGCTTCAGCCTGCGGCTGGTACCCAGCCACGGCTGGAACCGTAGCATCCACGTCGACGACGACGGCTTCGTGCACCTGAATGAGCACCCCACCACCGCGCTTCGGCCGCCCATGCACACACAAATTGGGGGCAAGTACAGCGTCGTCACCACCGTTGGGACGGGAGCGGGACGACGCACGTACGTCCTCGCGCTGGATATGACCAGCAGCGAACTGTGGATGCAGTGCAAGCCGGTCCAAAAGCCTTTCGCACAGCAGCCGCCGCCCTTCGAGCCTGCCAAGTCGCCGTCGTTCCGCCATGTACCCGGCAACAGCAGGTTATGCTTGCCGCCCGCTCATGGGCATCGGCCCACAGTTCAAGACCCATGCAAGTTTCGTAGCTTCGGACTTAACGGCACCGATGCGAGAGGCGTCCTGAGCAACGAGACCTTGGCCTTCGCGGCCGCCGGCCAGGAGGCGGAGGTTGCTGGCGTCGTCATTGGCTGCACGCACAGCAGCGACGGCTTCAACTTCAACAGCCACGGAGTGCTCGCCGGGGTGCTCGGCCTGGGAAGGCAGGCCCCGTCGCTCATCTGGACGCTCGGCCAACACAGGCATGTTGCCGTGCAAGTGCATCGCTTCTCTTACTGCCTCCCTAGCCACGGCTCGCCGGACCACCACACCTTTCTTCGGTTCGGCGACGACATCCCACACACCCAACACATGGTGAGCACCAAGATCTTGTACACGAGCTTCACCACTAGCCGAGATTTCAGCGCCTACTTCGTCTCCCTCACGGGCGTCAGCGTCGGCGGGCGGCAGCTGGACCTGGAGCATATCGGGGAGCTGTTCAAGCGCCACATCCATGGTGGCAGGTGGACCGGCGGGTGCGCGTTCGATGCTGGGACTGCGGCAATGGTGATGGTAGCGCCCGCTTACGAAAAGCTCAAGGACGCCGTGTTGGAGCACCTCAAGCCGCTAGGGGTGCCAACCGTGTCCCGCGTCGAGTACCACCTCTGCTTCCGCACGACATCGCAGCTCTGGCAGCACCTGCCCACGGTGACGCTGCAGTTCGCCGAGCCTGAAGCGCGGCTCGTGCTGCCGCCACAACGGCTGTTCGTCGCAGTGGGGCACGACATCTGCCTCGCCGTGGTGCGGAGCAACGACATCACCATCATCGGCGCCATGCAGCAAGTGGACAAGCGCTTTGTCTACGATGTTAGAGATGGCAGGATCTACTTCGCCCCTGAGAATGGATGCCATGCAGACGCCGGCCACCAGATTTAATTCAACTTTTGTTGTTTGAAATTGCAGTTATATATCAACTATTAAGGAAAATAAAAAAAGTTAAGAAAGATGTTTGATCTTCTTCTTACGGTACCATTTCTAACTTCCTACTCCCCCCGTTCCAAAATATATATTTAGACTTTTGGATGCAGTGAGTGGATTGAAATGGCTCCTAATGAGCTTCTTCCTCTTTTACTTAAAGATGTAAGTGTTACCACCAATGAATAAACAAGGAGCTTTAGCTGTAAAAAAAACTCAATTAAGTTCTTGGGACGCGCTTATGCTGATGCCCCATCAGACTTTTTTTATCTCGATGATTTTGTACTTGTGTGATGGACATGATGGTTGCTTTATTTATAATGCATGATGAAAGCCTATTTCGACACAAAAGGTGGTCTTTGCAAGTATGCTGTTTCTACTGATCATAGCATGGCAAAGTTAGGAAAAAACAGCGGCCAAATTTATCCGATCTTCTGATTTTTTTTTAATTTGAAGTTTGCAACTGTCATGAAAAAAAAGTATGATTGTGTCACATATTTGAAGTTGCCAATCTTCCCCCAATAATAAACCAGCGATTGTCCGTCGTCGCCGTTTTTGCAAAAAAAAACCTGTA